TGATGGCTGTTGGGTTGCCAATATCAACACTGCTGAAGAATGAAGTGGGAGTCAATTGAATGTAATTACAAGAGTTTTAACAACACCCTTTCATGTAGAGACAGGTTCTAATAGACAGATGCTGAGTTTTTTAGACAACTGCTGGCATTTTATAAATGTTGTATGGAGCATTGTAAAGGATAGAATAGAACTGGAATTGGGCAGTTCAAATCCTATTGAAACTAGCCTTGTCATTGCTGTCTTGTCTTCTACCTTTCTCTCTTTCTTACATACATGTGCATGATAGTTAGGCCATTTACTGATTCCATAATTCACAGATCATGTTTTGGTATGAGCCCCATCCTGTTCTTGAATTATATCATCACCAGTGAAGCTCAAGGTACTTTATAATATACTGTCCACATGTATTGTCTAGCTATTTCCCCAAGGCTATGAGGTAGTAAACTTTTTTCTTTCTTGTAATAAAAAACTTGTAGTGTAGGTCAGTTTTACTTTCATTTTACAGATGGTCAAGTGAAACCAGTCCAGATACGAGGGTGGGTGATATCTTTATTAGACCAGCAAAATATTACAGGCAAAATCTAGCTTTGGCTCCAGCAGGAATCTTCATCAGGGTAGGCATAACAGAGCTGGACATGGTGCAGAATAAATATGAAGGTTCAAAAAAAACCCCAAAACCTTGACTATACATACCAGGTTCCTCTGTTTAAGCAAGTCCCAAAATGAGGTCTGCAGAGTCGGTCCAGAGACAGCAGGTTTCCTGGTTTACTTTTGAGAATATACAGTGGTACCTCCACTTAAGAACTTAATCCATATTGGGACTGCGTTCTTAAGTCGAAGCACCATTTCCCATAGGAATGCATTGAAAACCATTTAATCCATATCTGCTGTTTTTCATAAGTTGAGGCGCTGTTCTTATACCATTTAATCCGTATCTGCTGCTTTTCATAAGTTGAGGAACTAATGCAAAGCCAGTTACTCTGTATCTACCACTAGGGGGTGAATTTTTTTTAAAAAAATGTCTTTTGACCTAAAGTGAACTTAGGTTAAAAAAAGGGCAGGAAAGGTTTTAGGTTTTTTGTTTTTTGGTTCTTAAGTCAAGACTCCGTTCTCAAGTCGAAGCAACTTTTTGCAAACGGAGCCGTTCTTGAATCGTTCTTATGTAGGGATGTTCTCAAGTCGAGATACTACTGTACATTAAATTGTCCCTCCCAATCTTAGAGGAAGAACTGCCAGACATTCATATGTTATTGTTGCACAGCATGCAGCATTAAATATTGTGAGTGGACATCGGATCAGCAACAGGTTTGGCTGTTTTTGTAGCTGGCAGTCTGCTCCTGCTCTGTGCCAAATTTGGTGGGTTTTTCTGGGGGGGAGTCTGCTCTTGCTCTGTGCCAAATTTGGTGTTTTTTTGGGGGGGGGGCGGATGGGTTTTGAGTTATTATTTTTTTAAATGTAAATGCTCCCCCTTGCTTACATCAGCTATTTTCTCTGTCTTCAGATCTAAAACAGATAAAATACATTGAAAAGACCAAACTTGCTTACCTTGAATTAGAATGATTAGTCCCAGACCGTTTTTTATTTGGGAAGAATCTAGACTTTGGACGGAAAATACTGATTTTGACAAAAACAGTTTGAGAGGAAAAAAAACCTCTGAGCTTCTATCTTGCTTATGAATGGGTTACCTGCATCAACATTCTAAACATAAACGTTCTTGCAAGCTTGAGGGGGAGTAGGGGTGAAAGGAGATCTGAACTTTTGACCATGCTAGTCAGGAACAAACTAAGTGACTTTCAGAACCTTTTAATTCTTTCCTGGCCAAACATACATTAAAAAGAGATTCTGTTTCTGATGTAAACATATTTTAAAAGATATTATACTCAAAAGCTTGCTCAATTAAAAAGAGATTCTATTTCTGATGTAAACATATTTTAAACGATATTATACTCAAAAGCTTGCTCGTATAAGCTATGAAATTAGTTTTTTGCTTTGTGACTGGTGATAATGTACTTTGCTGCTAGCAGGGCTCGCTATGAAATTAGTTTTTTGCTTTGTGACTGATGATAATCTACTTTGCTGCTAGCAGGGCTCAAGTGTCTATTTCACTCATCTTGTCACTATACGGTTGTTTGGTAATTAAGCGGGGGGGGGGACTCCAAAGATGCCTTGTGCCATCAAGTCACTTCTGATGTGTGATGACTATGGGCCTGTCCAAGATGTACTAAAAGCAGGATGGATTGGACTACAGAGGGTCTTTTGAAGTGACATGCCATTTGACACACCTCCTCCCATCCCCACAGCAAATGATCCCTTGTAGCCCAATCAGCTATCAATTATGCGCTTTCTCTGCAGAGGGACAGGGAAGGCAGGCCCTGTTCTCCCATACTATAGATCCATTCAAAACAAGGTTTACTCATGATAAAGGAGACAGCAGCAACAGCAGCCGAGGAGAACTGCAGTGTGAGCTGAGAACACTAGGGTAAAGATTGGGGAGACAGAAGGAAGGTCTCTCTCTCTCTCTCTCTCTCTCACACACACACACACACACACACACACACACACACACACCCACCCC